GCGAGGGGCTGGACGTTCAGGTCAGACTAGAGCCACAGAACCAAGGGCCACCACAATGGCCCCACAACGTCTGCACTCAGTGACAGGACCCCATTGGATTGAGGTCCTGCAGGGGCCTCAGAGAGACTGCCTGACACATACCCTCATCATTCTGTCCCCGCGAAAGCCTTAGGGTGAAAGGAGGAAAAGCTGAGGCCCCCAGCAGAGCCCCAGGGGAGTAGAGTAGGCAGGACAGTGACAAGAGACAGGTGCTTTGTGTCCTGTGCTGCTCACAGCTTTTCCTTTCTTACAAAGAAAATGGTGGCTTGGTTCAATGAAAGCCAAAGGGAAGGGCGGCTGTTTCTCCAGGTCAGGAAGGATACAAGGGGTCAGTACTTCCTGGTGGTGGGGTCCAGGGGAGGGGGGACACTCGTGTGCTAGCAGCATGAGAGAGGCAGTACTGTACAGTGGTTAAGGTCAAGGGCACTAGACCAGGCCGCCTGGGGTTGAATCCTGATTTCTCCACCTACGAGCTTGTAACCTTGGTAATCTCTCCAAGCCTTGGTTCCCCTGTCTGTAAAATGGGAACGATAACAGCACCAAATGGGACTCTAGCACAGTTTTTTGGCAAAAGATATAATTATGGATGGAGCGCCTCATGTAGACCTAGATCCTCTATCCGAAGGGACACCTCATCCAGACCCTGACTCAAATTCCTGGGCCTGGCTGATGGTGGCCAAAGTGCCCCACGACTCCCACCACCACTGGGAACTTTCAGAGGAAGAGTCGGGTGGGGTCCTGCTCACCAGGGCCTTTCCAGCTGGGTGATTCCCACAGAGCTCTGGGGCAGGGGTCACAGGGAGGCAGCCAGCCTCTGAGGGCCCATTGTTCTTCTCCTCTGAGCTGGGCAAGAGGCCTTCTCCCCACCCCTCTTCCCCTGATGCCTAACTGCATGCAGGAGAGACCAAAGAGCAACAAACACTGCCCGTCTCTCCTTGTCCCGCTCACAAAGAGCTCTCAGTGTCTCACAATGGGCCTGTGATGCCCAGCCTTCGGAGCGTATTGGCCCCAGTTCACAAATGAGGAAGTTGAGGCCCACAGGGAGGAAGTGGTGTATGTGATTTCCCATGTAGGGAAGTAACTCAGCCAGGATTCGGTCTCCCAGTCCTGTGTTCAGGACTGCGGACTCAGGGGCAAACAAATTCACAGCCATGCATCGACAGCACCCCCCCCCACCACCACCACAGAGCACACAGCCCGGGGCAATACAGGTGGAAGGGCAAGGGCTAGAACGCTGCCCCCTCAGCAGCCAGGTGGTGATTGCTGGTTTGTGGTTTTTTTTCTCTCTAGATGAGCTCACATCCCAGGTAACGAGCAGAAGTCCTCAGCTTGTCTTTTCTCCCCAGGTGGGATGCTTGCTGCCCCAACAGGCCCAGGGTACAGCTGTGACCATGACTTGGCCCAATGATAAAGTGGGGGGGGGGAGGAGGAAGCAGGAAGCAAGGTGCCCTCCCTACTTGGTGTATTGCCAGAGAGCATGACCAAAGGCCAAAGGGCTGTGCACATGACTGTGGTCTCCTGAAGTCGAAGGACGTGGAAGGGGGTGACCATCCAGGTTTTCCTGGGTTCAGGATGTGCAACTTTCAATTTTAAAACCTGGAAAGTTCCAGGCAAAACTGTGAGACTCACCTGAGTCTCCCACAGCTTCCAGTCTGGGAAAATAAGACTCACCAGGAGTAAGTAGAGGAGACTGTAGATGAAGGCCAGGAAGGCCACACGAGTGTCAGGGATGGGGAGGGACGCAGGCACCCAGTGGTTAGCACTCTGCCGCTCGGGCTTGGGCAGCCCCGCTCCTCATGTGCACATCTGCTGTCAAATCCGCTGGAGTCAAGCCCCTCCCTTCCAACAAAGATACCCAGAGACCCCGGGGGGTGGTGGGCCGCTTCTTTCTCCCAGGTCCTCTGCCAGCCTGGGGTTGGTCAGTGCTCAACAGGCCCTATTTTCACCTTCTTTCCCGGGCACTGTCTCCGACCACATCTCCGGCACGGCCCAGGAGGCCATCTTTCCAAGTCCCCAGAGCGCTCTGTTCCCAGTGACAGTACAAACCTGAACTAAAGGGGCTTCTTGCTTCCTTATAGAGGAAAGGGAGGTAAAGGTGGCCAGACCCAGAGCTGTGTGCACTCTGGCAACGGAGAACCTCAGCCTCAGTTTCCTTAACCTGCAAACAGGGATACTGTACCTCTCTTGTAGAATTGTATTAAGCATCACATGAGCCTCTGCTCAATAGATGTTTGCTGCCGAGGCTGTTGGAGGGGACTTAGTCCACTCAGTCTCGGGAGGAGATGCTTGCCTTGGGTCCAGATGTCACTCATGTTTCTGTTTCTTCAGGACTCTGCTCAACTCGGGTACATGCAAGTCCCTGGTGTTGCCTCCAGGGAATGGCAAGATGGGAGATGGTTCAGGAAGGGGTGCTGGGGGTGGGGGGAAGAGAATGGGAAGGCTGGAATTCAGGATGAGAAGAAAACGTTGGCTGAGAAGGGCGTCCCAGTTGCTGGGAACTGAGGGGTTCTTAGTGGTGGCTCAGGCAGGGTTTATCCGTGATGTCCAGGCCTCTGGAGTTCAGCACACGGAGGCGCGGGTGGGCTAGTGAAGCCTGGCCCCAGGCCAGGGCTCCTTGAGCCCCGGGAGGCCCAGCTGACCCGATGCCCAGGGGAAGGAACTGGCTCCCCCTTCGTCCCGGCCTGCGCAAACGCCCAGGGGTCGGGTCCCTGTTTCCCCTTAGGCCCTGAGGGGGGCAGTCAGCACCATTAAGTTCCTCCTCTCTGAGGCGTTCCTGGGTCAGCACTTCCGAGGCGGTGGAGTTGGAGGGCAAGGAGCCTGAGCCAGGAGACCTCTTCCTGTTCAGGCTGTTGTCGCCCCATTGGACGCCGGTGCAGGGCCCACGTAGGCCTGGACTGCGGCCACGGGGAGATCATCCACTTTGAAGGTGAGCATCTCCAGCTGAGACTCCCGCCCTCGTCTGCGAAGAGAGGCTGCCCATCCCAGCCCTGCGCCACCAGTGGGTGCGGCAAAAGAGAATGAAAACTGCAGGTCCCAGGCTGGAGGTGCGGGTCTCTGAAGAAGGGCGCTTGGGCACCATCTCCCAGGTCCTGGGAGATTTGGGAAGCAGGATCACGGGGCTGGGGTCACAGGACCTAACCTGGCTCTGATCTGCACCCGCTGGGGCCATCCCTGCAGGCAGGAACGTCGCCGGCCAAGGATCTCGCGCGTTTCTGTGCTCCTGCGAAGGCACTGTATCCAAACAGGGGCAGCGCCCGCTGCTGCGTTGTCGCTCGCTGCGTTCACGTCTTGCTGCGTAGACGTGGTGGCGGCGTTGACCGCGCGGCTCAGGAGCGCCGTGAGCGCGAGGCCATGGACGCGCCCCCCTATCACCCCACGCGCAGCAACTGCGTGCACTTTGCGCTGCGTCTGCTCCGCCCCGGGCCCACCCTGGACACCCTGCAAATAGATGGCAGTCCTATTAGCTCGGTGCGGCTCAGTTACCCATGCGCGACCCCACCCCACCTCCCACCCCGCCTCCGCCTCCGGAGCCAGTTAACAAATGCAGCTAACCAATGTGCTGCAAAATTCATACTTTCCCTTCCCGCCCAGGCCTTGTTCCTCAAACTCAAGATCCATTTCACTCTGCCAGACCCAAAGCACCCAGAAGCAAACTAGGCCTGCCAACTCTTCGACGTTCCACTTCTCTGAAACTCTTTTGGGCCCACTCCAGGAAGGCCCCTGTTCACAGGTCTTGGGCACATCTATTTCCTTCGGTCTACCAACTTCCAAACCCAGGCGCTGCCCTGGTGCTTGTTAACCCCCATTCCTTTCCCCCACTGGAACCTACCTATGGAGCCATCTTTCTGGGCCCTGTCCGTTTACCCAGGCCCAACAATTCTGGTTCTGGAGACATTGGGATCCTAGTCTATAGATCAATACTCAGGCCTATGAACTCTGGCTCTCCAAGTCAAGCCCTCCTCCCCTCCTCCTCCAAGCCCAGCCAAGAGACTGCAGCCATCCAACCCGATGCCCCAAAGTCGGGCCCAACTAGATCTCACCCCTTTCCCAAAACCTGGTCACTACACTCTCTCTAGATCCAGGCCGTCTTTCCTTGGGGGTTCTTCGGGCCTTGGAAACTGAGCTGGAGGCCTCACATGATCCAGGAGTCCTGGCTGTCACACCAGACCTTAACCCAGCCTCTTCCCTCTCTCCCTTCCTTCCCTAGGTGTCGGTGGACGTGAATTTGACTGTGGACTAGGTGTGATCTTAGGTCCTCCTGAGTGTGCATGGGGGCTTCAGAAATGGTCATTAAACTGTTTTGTAAAGATGAATTCGGGGTTCACTGTCCCTTCTATTCAGTCTCCATTTCTCTGCCTGCAGCCTGCTGCAAGCTCCTCCCATGGACCAAACCTCCTTAAATTCTGTCACGTCCAGGAAGGCCCCTGGCTTCCTGGTGAGAAACCAAGACATATCCAAGGGGCCCAGATTTTGTAGGAAAGATGGAGCTGGGAGAGAGAGCGTCTTTGGTCTCTGAAGCGGGTCTCCGGTGTGCTGTGCCTCCTTCCCGCTCTAGGACCCCCAGCACTGTAACACAGCCCCCTCTTCAGTCCCCGGCTTTCCTTCCACCGCTCGGGGGAGCATCCGTGGCTGTGTCTGGAATGAGCGGTGCCCCTAGAGGCCCTTCCACTGAGACCCTGTGGTCGGGAGGGTGAGGGAAGGCGCTCTGCCTCTCCCGGAAGGCTGTCCCACCCTCAGTCCAGAGGCCTCCACTCACCCCCGGACCCGGAGTCTGGGTCCCTCTGAAGGACAGGAGGATCCCTCACGGGGAGGGGGAAGGGGGCGGGGATTTCCGAGGGGCGTGGGCGGGGCCAGACCCTGGGGCGCAGCCCCGCCCCCTCCGCGGACACGCCCTCCGCTCCGCAGGCGCCGGTGCCTTTAAGAGCCTCTCCACGCAGCCCTGATTGATAAATCCGCGCCCTGCCTCCGCTCGCGCAGGTTGCGGCCTCTGCGGAGCCCGGCCTGCGCTCGCTTCCTCGGCCCCAGCCTCCGGCCCGGCGAAGCGCTCTCCCCGGCCGCCCCATGTCGGCCGCCCCCGCCTACGGCGAGGACAAGGGCGGCTCCGCCGGCCCCGGGGAGCCCGAGTACGGCCACGACCCGGCGAGCGGCGGCATCTTCTCCTCCGACTACAAGCGGTGAGGGAGGCCGCGGCGCGCCGGCACCATGGACAGCGCCCCGGCCTCGCGGACCGGAAGCCCGCCCTGCCCCCCCCTCCCGCGGCGGCCGGGCCGGGGCTCCCCCGTCCCCCGCGCCGGGGCCCAGCCGGGACCCGGGGAGGGGCTGCAGGCCGGCGGGGGAGGGGGGGCGACCCTCCCGCCCCGGGCGTGCCTGCAGTTCGTGGGTTTGCACTACAGGTTCCCCGCCTTTTTTGCGCGGGGCGAGCGGGCTCCAGAAGATCGCGGGGGAGGGGTCAGCGTCGGTGAGCTGGAGCCTGGGGCCTGTCTGGGAAGGCCGGCCCTGCGTGTGTGCCCTCGGAACCTCCCAGGCCCGGCCCCTCCTACAAATCCATTTCCCTCATTCTGGCCCCACGCTCGCGCCCCCATCTCCCATCCGGCCGGCGCTCACACACTCCCGCTTCCCTCCTTGCCCCTGGAGTTTAGCCCCACCTGGACTTCCCACTCTCCCCACCTCCCCCCACCTTTGGCTCACTCGTTGGTTCTTTCGTTTATTGGTAAATCCTGAAACAAGCATTTGTAAGGGGCTGCTGTGTCCGTTCTCATCCTAGTGACTGAATACAGGCGTGCATCTGAGACGGCCCTTGGTCCTCGTCTTCTAGTTGCTCTAGAGGGGAGCACAGAGGGAGAATCCATGTTGTGGGAGCGTCGGAGGAATGTGAGCAGCTGGTCCCTGGTCCTGGAGGCCAGCGAGAGGGGAGAGGGAGGGTGTTCCAGGAAGAGGAAGGAGCGTGTAGGGAGGTGGGGAGATGGAGAGCCAGGTCACAGGTTTTGTAGGTGCTAATAATACAATAATGGCCCGGATCGCTGTGCAAGCCCCTGGAGCGACCAGAAATGAGGGTGGGAAGATGCCAAGGAGCTGAAGGGTCCTGAGCAGGTGATAGCAGATTTGCATTTTAGAAGGATTCTAGGCTGGATTGTGGAGAAGAGACTGGGGGTGTGCTGGTTTGAGCAGGAGACAAGGGAGGGGTTGTTGAAGTTGGGGGAGGGAGACATGAGGGTGGTTTAGCCCGTGGGAGGGGCAGAGGATGTGAGGACGGTCGAGGCGGTAGAAGTCACAGACCTGATGATTAACTGGGGGGAGAAGATAAGGATAATACTCAGGTTACTATTTCTTGTAACTGGATAGGTGGTGGCACCATACAGAGTGATTGGAAATAAAGGGGTTACAAGAAAATTGGTGAAAATAATGTGGAACCCTGCTTTTGACAGGCTGAAATTATAAACTCTGAGGGATGTTCAAGCCTGGGAGGTAGCTGGATCTTAGGATTTGGGTTCCAGGAGAGATTATTAACATATGTGTATTAATCAAAGCCACAGAAGGAAGTTAAGGTAACCCAGGGAGAGTATATGAAATGAGTTCAGACAGCTCACAGAGATGAACCCTAAAGACACAGACATTAGGGATGACCAGAATGCAGAGGGAAAGTGTTTCGAGGTGACTGAAAAAAGTAAACCAAAGAGCGAAGGAAAACAAAATGTGGTTTCGAGAAGGAGGAAGTGATCAGCAAGGTCAACTCAAACAAGGGAAAGAAATCATGACCGTTGGTTTGACAAAGAGCAGGTCAACCCCACCCTGCTCTACTCCCCACCTCCTGTCCTGGGGGACAAGTCTGGCAAAGTCAGAAGACGGGGAGCTAGATTATTTTTCCCCAACATTCTACTATGAACAGTGTTAAACATACAGAAAAATTGGGTGTGTGCTACAAGGAATACATGAATACCCTCCACCTAGATCCAACCACTGTTGACATTGTGCCATATTTGTTTTATATAACCCTCTGGCCATAAATAGTTTTGGCTGAACCATGTAAGTTGCGGACATCATGGCCCCTCAGCCCTCAATTCTTATCAGCGTCTAAAACCAGGTGAAAGTGAGTAGAGGAGCAAATAAGAGGTGAATAAATAAAACACAGCGAATGGGAAATTTGCTTTCCGAAAGTTTGTAAAGGCGAGAGAATAAAAGAAGAGTTGCTGGAGGAGATCATTAGTTCAGGAAGGTTTGTGTTATTTGTGTTGTTATTTTTGTTTATCAGGATGGAAGAGCAAGTCTACCTGCTGGTGGGAAGGAGCCAGCAGTGTGGGGGAGGCTGAAGGGAACTGAAGGCGCAGGGCCCCCTGGGTGATGAGGGGGAGGCGGAGGCGGAGGCGGAGGCGGAGGCGTATGGAGCTGGGTGGGAAGACCAAGCCGGCTTTGAGGAGGATCGCTGCCCAGGGGGTGGAGGGCAGGAGGAGAGGAGAGGCAGGTGTTTGGGAGCTGCAGGGGATTTTGTCTGAGGCCTTTCATTTTCTGTGAGAAGCAGGTGGCCAAGTTCTAAGAGCAGGAGAGCAAGGCTGTGGGTGGGGATTTGAGGCACAGGGAGGGGGTCTGAAATGCAGCGAATAGAGCCAACGACTCCTGGCAGGGTGGCAGGGTAGCGGCAACCTGGATAGTAGGGCCAGAGGTGTGAGTAAGAGAGCGGCTGGAGGGATGGGCCAGGGGGACCTGGGCCAGGGAGGGAGGAAGTAGAGATCAGAGAAGGCTGATAGGAAGGAAGGAATCGAGGAACTGGCTCTGGGTTCGGGTCAGAGTGGGCAGGAGGTGTACTGGATTTCTGAGGAAGAGCAGTTCTGGGGAGGCAGGGATCTAGATGTGGCCGGAGAGTGGAGGTGAGGAGGGCATCCCTCACCTCTGTCTGGATCAGCTCTCCCCTGACCCCCTCGCCCCCTGGCCAGAGATTGGGGTGGCTTAGTCCCCAGTCCCTACCTTCCATCCCCTCTTGAGTCCTGTTTCTGAGCAGTGCAAAGGAAACCAGAGCCTCCTTCCCTGCCAGTGTCTGGTTTCTGAGTTTCGGGGGCGGGCCATCTAGGACAGCGACAGGCATCCCCAGCTCCCCGGTCAGCTCAGTCTCATCTCAGAGCAGGACCTGGTGCCCCATGCAGAGATTCCTGCAGCTCCCGGGGGCCGTGGGGAGGCCAGGGGGCAGAGGGGCCTGTGGGGCTGACCAGGAGGCCACCAGCCCCGTGCTGGCCCCTGAAGGCGGGCCCCCGCCCTGGTACCAGGCCTTGCAGCCTGAGGAGCTGCGGTGGCTGCAGGCCCCTGAGGAAGACACATCCCCGGAAGCGTCTCTGGAAGGACCTTGCCCAGAGCCTGGCCAGAGCCAGAGCCAGAGCCAGCCGCTAAGGTACAGAGGAACTCCCAGGGACCCTCACCCCAACGCCGGGAAGACAAGCAGTGGGCAGTGGCTGCCCTCAGCTCAGGCTCCTCCAAGTCCCAGCTCCTCAGGAGGACAAGGCTGGGATTTAGGGTGCGGGGCGGCAGGTCGGGGCACAGTGTGGGGGCTGAAGGTATGGGGGGGTGGGCTTAACTCCAGCAGCTCCCTGGGGAGGACAATAGTGTTGTGGCCCCATCTTGGCCTATCCCCCTCCCGGGTCCTGGGTAAGTGGGCTCTGGGGGAGGTTTGGAGACGAGCAAAGGCTCAGAGTTCGGGATTCCGGTGGCGAGGAGAGGGAGGAAGGTGTGGATCGGGGGAGGTGAGCACGTCTGGCCTCAGTGCCGCGTTCCGCGCCCTGGCTGGCCTGCTGGAGAGGCCCTCAGCCAGGCCAGGGGTCAGAGTGAATGCGGTGTAAGGCGATCTGACCACGGGAGGCTAGTGTTTCCTGGCTTTGGGGCGTCGCTGTGTGTCCCCTGCTTCCTCTCGCTCTTGGGCACACAAGCTGGTGCCGTGAAGACGTGGGACCCGGGGCGGCATTTAACAGCCCTGCCTGGGCTCTGTGTACTGTTCCCCCACAGTCCCCCTGCTCTCTCATCTCCCCTGTGCCGGGGCCCAGAGCCTGCAGGGCCTGGAGAGTAGGCGCCAGGCCGGGATCGTGGGGGTAGTGCGGGCGCTGCCGCGATGCCCCGGCGCGTGTGCATTTGACAGGGGCCTGTGGCATTTCTAGGAGCAGTGAGGACACCCGGGTGTGAGGAAGTGTGCTTTAGAGAACGCCCAGAGTTAAAGAGGACAGGCAAACTCCGACTGCTCCCGGTGAGGTCACCGCAGGCAGACCCCTCAGAAGGAGGCCGGAGGATCCATGAGGCTGCGTGTATTTGATCCTAGAAGCCTAAATTCATCCTCCAGAATCTCAACTAGGAGTCCATTGGACACTGGGGAATGAGACCAGCGTGCCAGTTTAGTCCAAAGGGTATCTGTGTACGTGGTGTGTGTTGGGGGGGGAGTGTGCGTGTGGGGGGTGCATTGCATGGGTTGTGCGTGTCCAGATGAAGGCGTGGGGGAGAACGGAGAGGTCTTGTGGGGATGTGTGTGGGTTTGCGGGTGTCTAGGGATGTGTAGATGAGGTGTGTGTTGGTGGATGTGTGGGCTTACGTGTGGAGAGTGTTTTTGTGGGAAGTGTCTGAATGTGAGGTATGTGTCTGTGACTGTTGGTTTCTCTGGGGGCTGTGGGTGTGTGTCTGCAGGGGTTTTTTGTGGGCATATGTGGGTTTATATATGGACTGTATGTGTCTGGGGGTGCAAATGTGTCTGGGGTGGTGGATATATCTATGGGGTGTATCTGTGAGGGTGTGGGGATGTGGGGATCTGAGGATGTCTGGAGTGCAGGTGTGTCTGTGGGGGTGTGAGGATGTCTCTGGAGTGCAGGTGTGTCTGTGGGGGAGATATGGGAGTGTCTGTGGTACGTGTGGATGGTGCTGGTGTTGGTGGGGGTATTGGGGTGTGTAGGTGAGTTGACTGTGTGGTGTATGTGTGGAGGAACCTGGCAGTTCAGTGGTGTGCATTTGTCCACTGGGGATGGTGGTGCCTGGCCTTCATTCTCCTCGTAGCCCCGGTGCTGCCCAGGCCCGGCTGCATGGTCTGTCCCTCTTTCTATACCCCCGCTGTCCTGAGCTCTGCCCCTTAGGAATTGACCACCTGATTTGTGTTTGGGAGAGTGAGAGGATCCTCTCATTTGGGGGGGCATCCCCCAAGTGAGAGAATTTTAGACCAACATGGCTGGGGCTGGACATCGTCTGCCTTCACGTGACAGCTAGCAAGCCCTCTGCGTTCTGGAAAACATCATCTTTCTACTTCGCTTTCCATCAGAAAATCTGTTCAGGAAAGACACTTCCTAAATCCCTTGGAACATCCATTTCTTGGCACTGCGCCCGTCCTTTCTGAATGTACGTAGGCACTCGGGCCTTTCTGCAGGATGCAGCCCGAGGACTAGGCGTGTACCGTG